CTTCTGATTGATTAATCTTGAGTTCTGAAAAAATTGATACTGATAGAAAATTTGTAAACAAGTAACATCTGTTCTATACATTGAATTTATTCTGAATATAAAGGCACTGATAAGGTTGATGTTAATTTGAAACAATAGATGCAAGACATATCAAATATGCCCAAATCCCTAGTTAACATAAAATGCTTAGTTTGACATCCAACAGATAAGAACAGCACTGGACTCCCTGCCTGTCTCCGGAATGCACTGATCTTGCTGCAGACAGTTACGTGAGGTTATTATGACTACCTCCTTCTGTTTCGAGTCAGAATACTTGTGAACAAAGGATCAGCTGGAAATAGACAATAGCCAAAGGAAATAGATTGGCCAAATAATAAATAAAAAGTTGTAAATCCCTTCCAGCTATCATGGCTTGTTTGATTGATGGCTTGTTTCATTAATTTCTTGAATGAAAATAAATGTATTTTGTAACAGGAAGTAGTTTTCTTGGTTATTTTATTTTTTATAAAGTATTTATTTTGAAAATGAGAGAGAGAGAGAGAGAGAGAGAGAGAGAGAAAGCAGAGGAGGGGCAGAGACAGAGAGGGAGAGAAAGGGAGAATCCAAAGCAGGCTCTGCACTGTCAGCCTAGATCCCAAGGAGGGGCTCGAGCTCACCAACAGTGAGATCATGACCTGAGCCGAAATCAACAGTCGGATGCTTAACCCATTGAGCCACCCAGGCATCTCATGATTATTTCTTTTAATTGACGTCATCAGCCATGTCTTTTTTGCAACTGGAGATAGAATCTAAATTTAGAATGTACAAATTTAATTGGCAGTTGACTTAAATACAATAGTCTTGCAAGTCCAATGCTCTAACCTACTGGGTAGTTTAGTTCTATTCCTTTTTTTTAACTTTCAAAATTAGATATAATAATTAATAACATGTACAGGCAAGTTGTTTTATATTTATAGACACATTAATCATTTTATTTGTTCAATATTTCTTATGATCTGTCACTCTATCATCAATTTTCTTCTCAAGAAGTACACTTGAAGTTCCTCTCATTAGGTGATAAACATTCAAAGATTTTGATTTCTAACATGTCTTTACTTCACCCTTGTTCTAGTACTAGAGTTTGGCAGGATACACAATTCTTGGTTGGTATGTATTTTCTTCTCACACTTTGTCTTTCTATTATCGTCTGCCTTCCCTTGTTACTGTTGAACATTCCATCATTAATCTGTCTGTTATCACTCAATCTATCTTGCCTTTGTAGGTAGTCTGCCTTTTCTCTCTTATGTGTTTAAGAACTTTGTTTGGTGTTTGCATTTTCACTACGATATTTCCAAATGTATAGTTCTTTGTATTCATCTTATTTGGGATATATTGGCAGATACCTTTCTCCCATATACTCATTGAGAGACTCAGTTCTTTTATTCTGTGGCTCAATGATTCACTTTTCTTGGTCTTAATCCAACCAGCAGAAAAGAAGAGACTATTGTGGAGGAACCCTAGGTTACTAATATCTTTGACCCAGAATGACATATATCAGTCATTTCCATTCATTTTTCATTGAACAAACACTAATCACATGCTTCCTGTAGATGCCAGTGGGGCAGCTGCTCATAACCCATCTTTTTCTTTCCAGGTATAGAACACATTTCTCATCTTTCCAAGAAAAACAGCCCAAAGTCATTCAGTTATTACATTATTAGACAAAAGTCAAAGCTCTTTAGGTGATGCCCAGCGTAGTCGGCTGAATAACGACCACCCACAGATATTAGGTCCTAATCCCTAGAACATACCAATGTTACCTTATAAAGGAAAAGAGTCTTTGCATTTGTGCTTAAATTAAGGATCTTGACATTGGATATTATTCTGGATTATCTGAATGAACTTTAGCTGTAATCACAAGTGTCCTTATGAGAGAGGAAGAAGGAAATTGAGACAGAAGAGAAGACAAGAAAAGGAGAGGCCCACGTAAAGGTGGATGCAGAGATTGGCGTGATAGGATCACAGCAAAAGAATACCAGCAACCACCAACAGCTGGAAGAGACAAGGAATGGATTCTCCTCAAGAGCTAGAGGAAGCACAGACTTGCCAATACCTTGATTTCAGCCCAGAGAACCTGACATTGTTCTTCTGGCCCCCAGCAATGTAAAAGAATAAATTTCTGTTGTTTGAAGCCACCAAGTTTGTGATAACTTGTTACAGTGGTCACAGGAAACTAATATACTCAGAGATTCTTCATGATTATTGGAGCATCTTTTTTGAGTGAGTCCTACGGACAATGAAAAAAGTTACATGGTCACTGGAGCTCCTTTATGGAGCTCCTTCTTGGAGAAGACAGAAGCCATGGATGCTATATTATCTTCTCTGATATTTTTGGCTTGATGGAACATGCATGAGGAAATGCAAAGTAGGTTTGTCTCTTCAAGGTTTTTTGGAGTTATCATCTTCCTCTTTTAACACATAGATAGTCCACAAGAAACTAAATTAACTAGACTGCCAACTATTGGAGTCAGTTGCTGTCAGAGTGTATTTCATCTATCACCTATCTATTAGCTGTGGTGCTTAAGGAATGAGAGACTTAACCTTAATGGCGTACATAGTGAAAAAAGATTTTTGGGCTTACAGTATTTTTTCATTTTACTTCAGCTAATATCCTAATTTCCACTGAGTTAACTAACTCTCCCAATTTGTGTCATTTTGGTGAGACAGGAAAATCACAATGCTCTCTCTTTTAAACAAGGAATGGGCAGATGACTAGCTGGAGAAACTGGGCTTCCATTCCGAGGACTTTGACTTTTGAGTAGAGAGACTTAAGGTCAGAAGAGTGTTCAGACCTCATTTCCTCTCACAGGTATCCTTGACAGGATGCTTGCTGCCTGGAAGCATCCAGAGAAGCTCTTGTTCCAAGCCTTTCCTGAGACTGACCCTCACTCTTTCCATAGCCTGACTTCCTGCTAATATTGTAAGCTGCTACCCCAAAATTAAAATATATTTCATACTTGCTTAAGTTGGACATTGGAAGTTTCTGTTGCTTGCAACTAAATAATAGCCTTAAATCCACAGTAAGTTACAAAACTAAGTTCTGACATCTTGATGGTATTCTTCACCTGGAGGAGAGGAAGGGAGGGTACCTCTTAATGGGGGAGTTATGAGAAGAAATGTTAACCTACATATTTATTTGGCTAAAGGCAAAAGTTGTCCTTAATATCTCTAAATATTATCCCAGTTCCTTTGCTGCATGTGCTTTAAAATGTCTACAATTAGCAAGAGCATTGGCAGGGTTCCATTCTGTCAGGTTCAGAGGTATTTTAAATTATATAAAATAACATAAACAAATCTACTTCTTTTTAAAAGTACAGAGTTGATCTCATTTTGTTTGGCTTTTTAACTGATCAATACCTGTGCAGATGTTTCAGCAGCATTTCCCACTCAATGAAATTTTCTTTCCAATGGCAAAGATCAACAAATTAGTTTGATGATATTTATTCTATTAAGTGGTATATTTATGTTGGCAGTAAGTGGATACTTTAAAAAGAATGTCTACTTAATAACTGTGGGATCATGTTTTCTTAAGATAGTGTTTTAGATTTTGTACGTTATTAGTCCATAATTTTTTTTTGGAAACTAAACAGTTTCCAAAATTGTACAAGTACAAGAGTACAAAACTGTACTCATATTGGGAGATACTATTGAGTTAAAAACTGGGTCGTCATTCAGGGTCCAATAAGCAGATAGGAATCACATAATTGTAACAAAGTTTAATATATAGAATTAATAACTGCAACCAATCTAGATTACTTGCCTCAGAAAAAAAACTAAAGAAGAATAGAAGAATAGATACAGGGGAAGCCATTACCTCTAAGCCTGAGAGGCAAAGTCCAGAGGAAGAAATCTGGAGGAGGTACTCCTCCCCTACAATGGAGTGCTTATGGCTATGGCCAAGACCCACTGGATTATGAAGTTCTCTGGGGTACATTGGCAGCTGAAATTGCCAGAAAGCCGCCTTCCAGGTGCTTGGAAAACTGTCCATAGGGAAGTATTGCTTCATGGAATTTGCTGGGAAGCTGCCCTCTGAAATGCCAAAGGAGGTCGCCCACAGGGAATGCCATTCAGTAGAACCCACTGGTGGGGAGGGGGCGCTGCTGGGTGACTTATGCACTGCTGGTTGTTGTGTACCACAGGAGCAAGCAGAGAAAAACACACTGGAACAAAGCCTGGTTTTTCTCCAACCATCTGCTGGGTTCTCTCCAACCATCTGCTGACAACATTGAACATTGTGTTACCTGAGAAAGGGATATGTTTACAGGGCCCATCTCCAATATCATAAGTAAGGCAAAGGAGGGTAGATTTGGAAATAAGAGGTAATCAACTGATAAGTGGCACAAGGCAAGTGAGATTGCTTTCAGTTTCCTAAGTGAAAGCAAAGGATTTTTAAAGACCTGGAATCCATTGATTTCTCAAACAAGGGAAATCAGTGCTTGAGTAGAATTTTGCATAAGGCTTCATGCAAGTGTTTAAACTGCAAAAACAAGAAAACAGTTCATGTTCAGGCTTTGGACTATTCCTTTGAAATATTCAGGTACATTTATGCAATGAAAATACTGGAATTCTTAGTTTTCATCTGTGAAAATGCTTTCTTGGAGAATAGTTTTCTTATAAAAGAGACAGCCTGCCCACAAACAGTCCATTCCCTAAGGGGAAAATCTGTGGTTTCTTAAAAATTGAATTCAGATTGTATTTGCATGCTTAAGGCCAAGCTGATTTTTATGTACTGCTGATTCATCTAGACAGGGAATTGTATTCCATCCAGCATGATTGGAGGGGAATACACAGGCCATCAGCTAAGGTTGCATATACAACACATTGTAAACTGTAAAGTAGTGTGTAAAAGCAGTTCCATACGGATTTCTGCTTCGACTTTGCTTTTTCTAATGTCATTTAACTCCCATAAAATTGTTCCAATGCAGCTTTCAGAAATGATTCTTACAAGCTGTCGAAGTGACATGGCGGTGCTCAACAGGTGGGCCAATGAACAATTTACCCTTCATAACTCTCTGTGACTATTGGAATTTACTATAAAATAACAGATTCTAGATATCATCTGTAGAAAAACTAACTCTTGCCCAAGTGGATCCGAACATTATTAGAACTTCAGGCAGCTGCCACCCCCTAGGCCTTTCTCTGGAAATCCTGGCATTTCATCCTAGCCTTGTAATGTTCTGAATCCTTATTGTCCAGAGTTTGTTTTGAGGTGGCGGGAGTACCAATCAGAGAACTCAGTTGGAGCAAAGGTTTGCTATTTCCTGAGATGTTACCCTGAAATACGACTGAATCCTAAAAATCAGAAGAATGTTTATATAGTTCTTTATTTTTGTGCTAAGAGTTCCAGTTTACCTATTAACATAAGGATTAATCTTATCTCAAAGTCAATTTATAAAGGTTTAAGAGATTCCAAACATCACTACCATGTTTCCCAGTTTTGCACACCGTCATTTATAATTTAAGCAGAAGGAAATACAGCATGGGTAAAGCTAAAGTGTTTGCATCTCATATTTCCTTCTAAACTGTGTAGCTGGAAGGGTGGATGTCTCAGATACCAGAGAATTGAGCGTGGGCTGCCTACCACATGCTGGTTTCTGTAAAATTTCTATAATAGTGTTGTTATCTAATTAAGTAGATTCTCCCTCTTTAAATTAATTTCCCCAAACTCCTCATCTTTTAATTACTGTAAAAACTGGTTTCATTTTGCTTGCAAGTAATTTTCTGCTTCCTACATTTTTGTGGTTTGCTAATTTGGAAAGAATTATAATCAGTGTACTCTACCAGAGAAAACTCTATAATACTATGGAGTCCAGGATAAAAAGTTCCATTTTCTGTGTTTTGGGCAGTTTTCAAGAACTTTATTCACAGTTAGATCGTTCAGTCAGATGGTTTTATTTGTTTTAGAAGACAAGAAAAAATTTCTTACAAATATGGTAACATGTTAGAGCTGCTGCATAACAGAAGAATTTCCTTCCTTTCTCCCTCCTTGCCTTCTTTCCTTCCTTCCCTCCTTCTTCTTTCATTTTATATTCAAGTTGAATATCCTCCTTCTTTTTCCTAATAGTACCCATCCCTGAGATTTACAAAACTCCAAATAAATCTAGTAAAAGTGGAGAGAGAGAAATTTATTTTTTTATATTTAATTAAATGAAAAATTGAGTCATCTGTATTTTTTTTTCTCCTGAGATTAAAAACCAGGTGAAAGATACCATGTTAAAACAAATGACCACACAATTGAAGCTATCCAATGGTTTTGAAATCCTAGCAGGGTCTGCCAAATCTTGCTTTTAAGAGTGGAGAGGTTTATAAGAACTTTTATAGTCTTATCTTGGAGGGAAAAACAATCTATAAAAAGCCTTGTATTGCTTCTGAATCATGACATTATCTCATAAATAAGGACTCAATAAAATTTGACTATAAAAAGAAAGAAGAAATACTACTTGTAGTGAAATGGTATCTTAAAGACTATCAAATTCAGTAAAATAATTTGGGGTTTGTTTTTCAAGGAACTAGATACTGAGAACTTTTTTAAGGAGGTAAAGTAGTTCGGAACAAATAGAAAATGAATTATTTAACTTAAAGTCTGATGGCCTACTTGTCTTTTGTGTTGTGTATCATTATGACTGGAACTTGCCAAGATATTTGGTTAAACATTATTTCTGGGTGTGCCTGTGAAAGAGAGTCCAGTTGACATTAGCATTTGAATTGGTAGATTCCGTAGAGCAGCGTGTCTTCCCCAAAGTGGATGTGCATCATCCCACATTGAATAGAACAAAATAGGTGGAGGAAGGGAGAATTTGCCCCTTCTGCCTGACCGAACTCAGACATGGATTTTCCCCTGCCCTCTGACTTACACCACAGGTTGCCCTGGTTCTCAAGCCTTTGGACTCTGACCGAACTACATCATCAGTTTTCCTGGGTCTCCAGCCTACAGACAGCAGATGGTGGGATTTTTAGTCTCCATAATCATGTGAGCCAATTCTTCATAACAAATCAATCTCTCTCTCTCTCTCTCTCTCTCTCTCTCTCTCTCTCTCTCTGTATATATATATATATATATATATATATATATATATATATAATAGATGGGTGGATAGACTGATAGATCAATCCTATTGATTTTGTTTCTCTGGAGAGCCCTGACTAATAATACATCTTCACTAGGTTCCATTCTCAAAAATTAGTATTCATAATTATGTTTGACTGTATTTGAATAATTCTAATTTATAAGCAATTAGACACTTCCAAATGATTATGGTATGTAAAAGCAAAGTTTGGAAGCATGGTGAAGGAGATCATGTAAGTAAATGTTTATGGACAAATAAACCCCAATCCATATAACTCAGTTGACAATGATTTGGTAATAATTTGTGTAGATGAAGTAAAACATGGATTCTTTATTGTCCTAATTCTTAATTTTTTAACCTGTATTCTAGTCTTATTTTGTAAAATGCCATCATTAAATGCTGTCATTAACTTCTTTATGATTGTTGATAAGTGAGTGACCGTTTTTACAAATACATTTCATTTCATGTGAATTATGTTTCATTAGACTTATTTTAATTGAGCTTCACACTTCACTAAAAACTAATGCTTACACTAAATCTGTTAAGTAAGAATGATACTAAATTCTTTTTGCCAGATAATTCTAACATCTGTGGCATCTTGTTATTAGTATCTATTGACTGTCTTACCATTTGAGTTGAGATTTTCTTGGTTCTTAGTATGAATGAGTGATTTGTGATTATATCCTGGACATTGTCAATATTATGTTATAAAACTGGGTCTTATATAAATCTTTTTTTTTTTAGCCTCTTGTAACACCGGCAAGAAATGTGAGCATCTCTTCATTACTTCTAGGAGAAGGTAGAAATATGGGTTTCCTGCCAGCCCTCTATTGACCCCATAGTTGGAGTGGGTTGACCCATAGGGAGTGGGTTGCTGAGGGGTACTTCAATACCTCTGAGTTAAGGTGAAAATTCAGGCTTTCCACTAAACCTTTGCTGATACTCCCCTTGTCTAGAATGCCTGCTGTTTGTTTCCTGTGTGGCCTCCACTGACATGTGGGGCAGGAATAGAGGTGGTTTCATTACCTCTGAGCAGTGGTAAGAGTTCCGACTCTCCCCTGAAGCATAGAGGGGGAACGATCCTTTATTACCACAGTGTGGGTGTAGAAGTCCAGAGTTCACAGACACCTGCAGAGTAGGGTAGAATTCATTAATGCTGTAAGAAGATGGAGTTCCCTCCTCCTCACTCAGTATTCTCCAACACTACCAAGTGTGGAGCCTGGAGGGCCACCTCTACAGCAGGGTCAGGGTGTAAGTCTAGACTTTTCACTCAGCCTGTGTTGACCCAGAGGGGTGGGGTTGGCACGGAGATGGCAGATTTTCCTGTGTTTGTTTGGTGTTGAGTTGTTATTGTCTAAAATGCCCCTTTCCTGCTCCTTTGGGTAGAGAAAAATGGACTTGCTGAGGCTCAATTGTCTATGCCCAGTAGCATTTCCTGCTTACTGGCTTTTTCAGTTACAAGTCTGGGATATATGAAGCAGAAAGAAAACCCAGGGATCTCACCATAGTATCATTCCTTGTGTCCATAGTCCTTAGCCAGTTTGTCTTCTTCTTTCCACTGTTCAGAACCTTTGTAGTGGAAGAAATAGGGGAAAATGCCTTTCATCCATCTTTCCAAACTGAGAATGAGTTTTTCAGTGATAAACCATAAAGGTATTAAATTAATTAAAAAAAAAAAAAAAGGAGGCTTGAGCCACATGGGAGTAGGATGGAAAGAAAGTTATTTAAAAAGGCAAAAAAAAAAAAGAAGTGAGAGGGGAGACAGGGATTAATTTAACTGAATATGGTGAAGTTGCACATGGGCTGTTGTAACCAGCAAGTTCTCACAACAGTATTTCCCAACCATGGCCATATTGTCCACAAATATGCAGACTTACCCCTATGCCCTCCCTCGGGACAATGGGATGGAAATGCCCAAACCTTTGGGGAAAAACTGGCTAAGGCAATAGTAGTGGCTCACTGAACCTTTCTCCAATTCCTGCTTAAGTTCTGGGCAGACCTGGAACCAGGGTGATTGCCTGCCTGCTTGGTTATGTAATAAATAAGTGCTATTTGTTTATTTTTTCTTTTCTCTTCCCATTTGCAAACTTGACTTCTCTCATCATGGTTTCAGGTAAAAGCAGTATAAATCTTGGTATTGCCAGAAATTCCATTGAAAACAGAACTTTATGGTTTTACCAGACTTGTGAGCCCCAAGCTTTTATTTTAACCCATAGCTCATAACCTCAAAATATCCCAACCCATGCAAACCAAGTTGTTCTTGGAAGAAGGAAGTTCCCCAGAAACCTAAAAATCCCCTGTCCCTCAGTTGTCCAGTGTTCCATAATCAAGTAACAATTTTCATATTTATAACATGAGAATCAGATCTGATTTTCATTTCTCGCTCTCTTAGCTTAGCCAGCTGGGGTGAGAATTTGCACAATATGGATTGATGTTTAATACCAAGATAGAATCACGACTGAGAAACCGGTAAAAAAAAATTATTTTAGGAAACCTAACACCCAACATATCACCTGGGACCAGTGTTAAAATTTGCTCTGCATATTTAATCAGCAAACTATAGTTTGTCCAAGTGTATGTCAAGTGTATGTTTGGAACGTATGCTCCTTTACTCAGTTTAAGGAGAGGCAGGCCCTAAGAGAATTTGAGGCAGTTGGTAATTTTCTTAGTTATCGGAGCCCTTTATCTCAAAACTTCTTGAGTACTTCTACAGAGGATGGGGAGAAAAGAAAATGTGTCTCTAGTCAAGAACTGGATTGAGGGGTCCTATTTTTAGGAGCAATGCAAGTAATAATAATACACTCATCTTTTCACATATCAGTACACCTAGATGTTTCCAGGTGCACATTCAGTGAACTTATGAAAACATCTGTGAAGAATGGCAAAAAACTTACCATGGTCTTTGTCTTGG